ATTGATAACAATACTACCTAAGTGATCCTCTTTGATGAGCTTTAGATATGCACTACTAAAAAAAAAAAAAATAGAGAACACTTTTTATACGCTAAAAGTTGGGCTATTTTCAAATTGCTGAAACTCGGGGAAGTCATCGTAGACAAAAAATTAAAAAAGTATTATAAAACTTGAAGTTTCAACTTTAACTTAACATATCGGTAATTAAAAAAAAAATTATCTTCCTTATTCGGTGCTTTAAAAAAGAACACATTGTTTTGTTTCTTAAAATTATGTATTTTTGATACTCTGCAGCTCGATAAAAAAATTTCTTCAAAAATTTAAGTTCCATAAACTACATTTGCCAACAAAACGCTTTTTTTTAAATTTTTTTACGTTTTTTTGTAGGCAAAATGTAGTTTATGGAATTTAAATTTTTTGAAAGGAGTTTTTTTATCAAACTGCAGAATATAAAAAATACTTAATTTTAAGAAACAAAACAATGTGTTTTTTTTTAAACACAAAACAAGAAAGATAAAAAAATTTTTTTTATAATTACTGATAGCATATAAAGTTAAAGTTGAAACTTCAAGCTTCATAATACTTTTTTAATTTTTTGTCTATGATGATTTTTTGCCGAGTTTTAGCAGTTTGAAAATAGCCTAATTTTTAAAGGTAAACCTTGATATTAGTGCTGATCTCACCAATTTCAATGACCTTGACATATGTTGTCAAGGATGGCTCTGAACAACTTGCAAAAAAATTTAGCCGTCGTTCGCTATTTATTACAAAGTTATTAACAATTGAAGATAGTGACCAACCGATGCTTGCAACATAAGTATACACTTTCCCACCCACACAAGAATTTTGGGAGTGGACCTCACTTCGCGTTGTAAGGTATATGCGTGGATACAGTGGGTTCTGCCCTCCCCCCTCTCCCCCCTACAGAGGGCTCCACTTCCAGAAGATATAAGCTAACCCAAACTTATTTCTGATTTAAAACTAAAATTTGGTTTAATCCTAAAGCCCCGCCCCGCCCATGCAATTACTTAAATATACAATTAATAACTTAAATATATAATTAAATACTTAAATATATAACGCTCATGCATGGAGAAGTTCAGATTACCGCATTTAATACGTGTTTTTATCATATCATTTAATTGTTAATAGCTTTGTAATAAACAACGAACGACGGCTAAAATTTTTTGCGAGTTACTCAGAGCCATGTCCTTGACAACATATGTCAGTCATTGAAATCCGTGAGGTCGGCGCTAATATCAAGGTTTACCATTTTAAAATATGAAAAGTGCTTTTTTTAAGAGAGATATTTATATTTTTTAAGAGAGAGCAATAAATATTGCTTTACATATTTGATATTTTAAACAATATTAATTTAAACGCGCACACAAATGTGAATCATTTGTGTATTACACATTTAAAATAATAATTGAAGAAAGATATATATTATTTTTCTTATTTTTTATAAAAGAAAAAATTGAAATTCTTTTTTGTAAATGAAATATTATAGTTGAAAATAAGCGACACGTTTTCGATAAACATTGACAAAAGGGGATCCGGATTCGATGACTCTAACCTTGATATATATTGTCAATTTCATCACCTTGAGTAACCTCAAAAAAAATTCAACGGTCACTCATTATTTATTTAAAAGTTATTTGTAAGTTTTATATACATACATGTCAGGGTGTTCATGATTGACGGGCTAAAAGGATTTTCTCCTAAATTTAATATCGTAAAAATAAATGTTTCAGACAAAATTTAGAGTTTTGAGATAGAAAAAAAATCATCTTAAATTTTTAACTAAGGTCATTATTCCAGGTCATGTGAAAGTCAGTCTAGTTTTTAAAAATAAAGAACAACTCTTAAGTTGTTTCTATAAATTGATTCCTCACAATATTCGATGTAGAAAGTTGTAAGAACAAATAAAAATTGAATAGTTTACAAGATATTTTATACTTTAAGGCTCCTGAGTAGTCGCCGTGAAACTCTGAGTTGACGGTAGCGACATGAGAATAAAAATGTTGCGGTAGGAATAAGAACCCTGTCCAACGACTTACCATATAAGTGAACTGGGATTTATTTGTAACTTTCGGCTGGATTTTTTAGCTCACGCCTACTGCTCCCCTCTTACCCCTCGCTCCTTAGCAACGCATCGTAAATCGTAACTAAGGAGCGCATCGCTTAGTCTCAGGAACGTGCGTATCACAAATGTGATAGCACAATACTCTAGTAACCATAAAACATAAATATTTTAAATTGTTAAGGACATTCTACAATGGCAGTAACAAGGCTGTAGGAGTAGGAGAGTATACTGTTTTTAGTGATGTAAAGACCGAGAGTAACGAAATGGGCAATTCCCATTTGCTTTTAAAAGTTGTAAGAGCAAATGGGAATTGCCCATTTCGTTACTCTCGGTCTTTACATCACTAAAAACAATATACTCTCCTACTCCTACAGCCTTGTTACTGCCATTGTAGACGGCCCTTTACGTTAAGTACTAATTCTAAACCTAAACTCATGTAATTATTTGCTTTATGCTAGTTTTGTGATGTGTAATGTATTCATGAAACTTATAAAATTGTCCGAAAACTAAGCTTAGCAAGAAAAGTATTATGTAAACATAATTTTACATAAACTATGAAATATCTTGCAAAATATTCATTTTTCAATGATCTTACCTCAATACTTCTATGCATATAAAATAATGAAAGGAATCAGTTGGTGTAAAGAAAACACATAGTTATATTTAAGAAAAAGCAATGGACAACTACATATTTTTTCTCAAAATCAGATGTGTTTTTGTTACACTAATTGATTTCTGTCATTTTGTGCATAAAAGTATTGAGATATGATAATCGAAAAATGAATATTTTATGAGATATTTCATAGTTTATGTAAAATTATGTGAAATTAAAGTATAAAATATCTAAATATTCATTTTTTGGCAATTCAATCTTCATAATTTTTACGCAGAATATTACAAGAAACCGATTTTTTAAAAAAACTTAAGTTGTTTCATTTAAAAATAAAAAATTGGTTGACTTTCACATAATCTTAAAAAATAACTTCAGTAAAATTCAAGATTATCAATTGATAATTTTTTCTATTTAAAACCCTATAAATTTTGTCTGGAACATTTTTTTATACAATGTCAAGTTTAAGAGATATACAGCTGTTTCCATTTAAATAGGACACCCTATGTATGTATGTATATGCCAATTTGTTATCTAAGAATATAGTTGATGTATTTTCTTTTCTTAAAGCATTGAGTATTTTTAATGATAGAAAGATCAGATTGTCAGCACAAGATCTGCTTCCTTTAAAGACGAACTGGGAAGAAGGTAGCAGCTTATATAAAACTTTAACTATAGGGTAGATGTCTCAATTACTGCCAGTGTCCCTATAACTGCCGTTTTATTTATTTTACTTGATAAAAAATAAATTTGTAAACAAATATGTTCACAAAAAATTTTATTATTAGATCAATACTTTAATTTATATAAAAACAAAAAATGGCACGTATTTGTTTTTACTTAATATTTAAAAATTAATATTAAAAACAGAACATTAAGTTTGAATATTAAAAATGCGACTACATAAATAAAAGACGATGCAAAAGTCGTACTAAAGAAAGGGCAATAATTTTATTATATAACCTATACATTGATTATGTAAAATGGATTAATAAGCTATATAAGAATCATTTTAATGAAATAATGTGTGAAATAAGTGATATTTTATGTTAAATTATTATAATTAACGCTGACAGCAATAGGGACAATATTTTCTGGTTTGTCCGTCAGACTGCCATCAGTATTCGGGGCAAGAAACACGTTACAAGTGTGCATAACTGACACTCACCTACGGACTACTCCAACCTCTTTTTGGGCGCAGCGAGACTGGCACTGGGACTGGTAGTGATCTGGTCACTGTCAAAGGGACTAGCAATTATCGGGTGTCAGTCATACGGACATTTTTTTAAAATGACATTAATAGGGACATCGTAGATTTCTATAGATTTTTATTTATTATTAATTTGAGTATTTATATACATGGTGGACCATTTTAATCAATCCACGCGAATATCTCGAAAACTGAGCCCGATAGACAAAAATGTTTCAGACAAAAGTTGCATGGTTTCGAGGAGGCCACATGATAAAAATATGAACTTGACCTTTCCAAGGTGAGGTCAATGTGATCGATGTTTTCTTAAATGGAACTCCCCATTTTTTATTACATATTCTTGTAGCTTACCTCGAATAATTATTAATATATTATATTCCTCACAGCACATTAACATCCCAATGAAATTACACCTTAAATTGTAAGATGGTAACATTCTACGGAAATTAATAAACCTGCCATTAACTTTTAGTAACTTGAAAATTCGTCTAAATTTATTCCATTAACATCCCAGAGACCTT